ATTATTCTTACGAGTTTTAGATTGAAATCTTTGTATTTTCATAACATTAGATTTGCTAGCTGATCCCCAGAGCTGCGAACCATATGACCAAAAGGGTGTTATTATATAACTTTGTATATCAGCAGCTTGTTGTCGATCGATAGGTGAGTTTTTCCCAGCATCCAGTAAAGTTTTCTGTATAAAATTCCTAGTTTTAATCTTTTCGTCCATATATGTTTGGGCCATGTTAATCTTTTGTCCAGATGAATGCCTAGATATTTTACGTCATCCTTTTGGAGTAAAGGATACCCATCTAGGTTAACTTGTAGACATATACCTCTTCTTAGAGCAAATGTGTGTGGTTTTTTGAGGGACTTACTTTAATTCTCCATAGTTTAAACCATTCATTAGTTTTGTTTAGATGTAGTTGCAGTATCTCTGATGATATTACTGGATTACTATGAGATGTTAGGAAAGCAGTATCATCTGCAAATGTTGCAGGCGTAAGGTTATTGCTTGTTGGTAAGTCAGGCGTATATATAACAGGTACGAGATCGGTCCGAACACACTACCCTGAGGTACACCAGATTTGATGGGGTAGAGTTTTATGTGGGCTTCACTATACTAGATATCTTTTTTCTGTAAGAATTTAAGCAGTTTGAAGTATGTGTAAGACAGATTTTTCTTTAACTTGTATGAAAGTCCTGTGTACCACACCTTGTCAAAAGCTCAAGAGGCATTAAAAAGGCTGCAGTGCAGTGTTTCTTGTTTTCGAGACTAGTTCTTATTGTTGTGTATAATCTGTGAGCTTGTTCTATTGTAGCGTATTGGTTACGAAATCCGAATTGATGGTCAGGTCCCGGACAAGACTCTTTTTGTACAATATTGGTTTGATTTTTCTCAACAGAAATTTTTCAAAAATCTTTGAAATGACTGGGAGTAAACTAATCGGTCGGTATGGTTTGACATCTTTTGAATCTTTACTAGGTTTTTGAATGAGTATAATTTGTGCCACTTTCCATTGCAAAGGAAAGTAGTGGAGACTTAACATAGCATTGAAGATTATTGTAATTATTCTGTAGCAATCATGGGTTAGTTCTTGAACGACCTTACCTGTAATGAGATCGTATCCTGGAGCCTTGTTGGGTTTTATCTCGTCGTTATATGTAGCGTCATGAAAAGTATGAAGTGGTTCTTTTTGTTCTACATGCACTTCTCTGGTAATGAACTAAATACTTTCGAAAGATGTTTTGCTAATGCTTCGGATTTCTCTGTATCTGTTCTTGTCCATTTACCTTTGGCATTTTTAAAGAAGGTATGGCGTCTTGTGGCCCTTTTCATTTTCTCGTCGCTTTTCATAAAGAATAGCTTGTATCTTTGAACGGCGTCAGATTTTCTAGATAAGCATTCCCTTACTTTTTCCTTCTTTTAACAGATTTTGAAGTCTTCTGGTAATTCTGTTTAGGTTTGCTTTGTCAACGTTTAGGTGCGTGTGTTTCGCCACTTTCTTTTCTCTTCAATCAAGGTTTTTGCACTCTGAGAACAATTTATGCGTTCCTTCAATATTGAGGAGTAGCAACTCGTCCCGCCTTTTGTATGGAAGTAGTAAGATATTGTACAGCATTTTCAATTTGTATTTCTGTTTTAAGTGGCAGGTTCATTGATATTTGTTTTGTAAGCGCACTTCGAAATATGTTCCAGTTTGTTTGTGTTACGACTGGAGGCTTACTTCTAAGTATGACTTTGGAGACTATGTCAATTAGAATGGGAGAATGGTCTGACGAAAGGTCTTAACATGATTCTATTGCGCAGTAGTTAAGAGATATACCTTTAATCACACAAATCTAAGAGATCGGGTGTTTTATTTGGGTCTGTAGGCCAACAAGTTGGTTCTCCTGTAGATATACATTGTAAGTTGTTTCCCATTATTGGTTGTCTACCCCTTGTTACGATTACCATAGAGATCCAGTGGTGATGTTTGCAGTTAAAAGTCTCCTCCTGCTATGAGTCAGGAGGAGAGTAAATAAGGTTGCCTAGCCAGTCTTCAATCACGATGCTAGTTGATTGTAGGTACTTTTCACTGAACTTATTTAACTCATGATGTTTTATATTTGATTTGATGATATAGCTGTGCCACCGTGTGCTTTAGTCGTTTGGATGTTTTGTGTAGTGAACAATCTATTTTGGAATTTTAATATAATCTTTGTCTGTTAGATGACCTTGTGATATGAGCATAACATCAATTTTCTTCTCGTCAAGAAAAATTTTGATTTCTTGGATGTGTTTCGTTAGGCCGATAAATTAAGCTAGTTTTATTTTAAACATTTAAAATAAAAAATGCACCTTGGGTTAATAAGACACAGGGTGGCCCTCATTACTCCAATGTGGCCCCCATTTTTAATTTATTTCAGATGCCCAGAACATGGAAAAGAAAAACCGATGGAGGTTCGTGGACATCAGAAGATATCCAAATGGTTGCTACGTTGATGGCTAATGGAATGGGTATCACAAAATCAGCCCTCCAATTTAATATCCCGTAGCAAACATTTCAGAGAAGATTAAAGAACGGCAACTTAAATGTCGGCACAATTAGGTAGAGGTCCTTGTTTTAGAATCGAACAAGAAAAGGAAATGACTGCCCTTTCTTACTTGTGGAAAGTAACACTGTTGCGTTAGATTATTAAATGATTATCACAATAGAGACGAGAGATGCTGAATATAAAAAATTAGTTAACAAATTGAAATGCACTTGAAATATTCATATTGAACGATACAGACATCCATCAGATATACCTGAAGAGTGTATATCCTCCTGTATGAACACGTACACGGGCAGGTCTACCTGATAGCGAGTGGCTCGTCTAACGTAAGCACAGAATACTAATTGCACAACACAATTAACAAGGAATCACTTAAAATACAGGTAAAACATTCTTATAATATTCTTCAACTTTGACGATGCTATTCTGTCAGCCTTCTTTGGTAGTACTTGGTACCTACTTCTTTTTAATTACCTATTACCTCAATCACCTTCTTATCAAATTTGTAAAATGTATCTGCACCCCTTATACTTCTTCTTTCAGTACCCTGTCCGATTATCGAACGTTGGCGATCATATTGGCAATAACTTTATTTACGGCGGCTCTAAATAAATTAGCGGTGGTTTCTTGCTACCATTCTCGGAGATTTCGGAGCTAGGATGTTGTTCGTCGGCCTGGGTCACTCCTTTCGGCGATCTTACCCTATATTGAGGCGTAGAAGGTTATACCTCTCTGGGTGTCTCATTACATGACCGAAATATTGTAATTTTCGAATTTTTATTGTTTTTGTTATTTCTATGCTCTTTTTCATTCGATGTAAAATTATTCCATTTCTTATTCGATCAACCCAACTTATCCGCAATACTCGTCGATAAATCCACATCTCAAAGGCCTCTAATTTTTTCATTAATGTCTCTGTAAGGGTCCAGCTCTCCATACCATACAGCAATGTGGAGAATATGTAGCAGCGTATTAATCTGATTTTGAGGTTTAACGTAATATCTCTATTAATTAGAATTTTCTTGTAATTTATAGGGTCGTTTTAAGGTCGCTCTGGATTTTTCAATGCGTTTTCTATTTCTTTATTTATATCCCAGTTATCGTTTGCACACAAGCATCTAATATTGTGGACTCTTTTCTAAATCTATTCCATACGCTCTGATGTTCGTTGGTTGTAACTCAGTTTTGCTGACAACCATAAATTTTTGTCTCAGAAGTCGTTGCAGGTCTTCTTCATTGGAGGCAATAAGTACCGTGTCGTCTGCATATCTGAGATTGTTGACATTAATTCCGTTGATTTTATTGCCTGTATCTTCAACTAAGGCTTCTTTGAAAATAAATTCGGAGTAAATATTAAAAAGTAGAGGCGATAGAATACGTCCTTGCCTCACTCCACATCGTATTTCCACTGGTTCCGTCCAGCTCGTATGTTTGCACATTGATGTCAATACGGAGGTCTCGGTCATCAATTCCCACCTGTTGCAAGACACCTAAAGTTTGTCACGGTTTACTCGGTCAAAGGCCTTTTCGAAGTCGATAAAACACATATATACTGGTTGTTCTATATCCCTTCATCTTTGAACCATGACCTGCAAACTGAAGAGTGCTTCTCTGGTTCCAAGGTTGTTTCTGAAACCAAATTCTGTTTCACTTATACTTAATTGTCCCCAAATTAGGTCTATAGGATTGATAACACAAAATAGGGGAAGTCTTAGCTTTTCGGTAATACGTGTGTATGACCATGCTTCATTTTTCATTAAAAAGCTTTCAGCTTTTTTTGAAGATGTATTTGGTATCTTAGTCAGCTGTCGGGAATGATAGTAACGCTGTCAGGTACTCCTACACTAATTAACTCTAAGTTTGGAATTAGGTTGTGGTAGTCAATGTTGCAATTCATCCATTGTCTTCTCACTTAATTTTAAAGTATTTGGAACCCATCACTTCCTCCTCCAGCAGTATTTCAGCATTTAAATGCATTCGAATCTTCTTTACGGGTACTTTTTTTCCGGAATTACATTCACAACGGCACTTTGATGATAGTGGAAAGTAGAAAAGATAAGATGGGATTAAGATCGCCGCATTTAAAGCGTTCTACAATATGTTACCGGGACTATATATACGTACTTTTTGATGACTACATTCTTTCAAACCATCTCTATTCTTTGCAACTTCAATGTACAGTGATACTTGTTTTCTCGGCGTTCTGTGGTGCGTAATTGAATTTTTAAACAATTTTTCATAGAATATCAAAAGCAACAATAGCACTCTCCACTTTTTTACACTAATTTCTTTTTGGCTCGCTCAATTTTTAAAGCCTGAGTGTTTAACGAGCGTAAGATAAAAACACAACTGATTTTTCAAGTAAATTTTGTTTACTAGTTATAAAATCTTAAATTTATGTAATGGATTTTATTTTATTAAAAATCCCTCAGTATTAGGAAAGAGTAGGTAATGGTAATTTTGGAATAAATAAAAACAAATATGTGAAAATTTTTATATTTTGATGTTAATTTTACTTAACATCTTATTTTTTACTAGCTAAAATTATACCGTCGTATTTCTGTTGGAACCACTTCATGGCATCTTCCTTTGTCAATCTGTGGGAGAATCCAACTTTGCCGGTCTTTGCTCTCCTGTGAGCTACGTTGAATCCTGGTCTTCCTAATACTACATAAAAGTCAAGACCATAAATACCTATACTTGGGTCATATTTGATACCAAGATCAATGTGTTCCTGAATACCAAATCCAAAGTTACCAGATGCTAGAAATAAAAAGGAAGTATTTTATTATACTACATAATGATAGGAAATATTTTCTATTTATCTTAATAACAGAAAGCTCCTGATTTGTATGTGATCTAATTCTATTATTGGTTTAATAGTAATCAAGCCAAATAAATAGTTGTTTTGATATTAATCTAGTCATATATAGATGGAGTTACGTGAGAACAAATAACTTTGCAGTTGTTAAACAATGAAAAAAATCTACTATAGTTTTTATTACATATCTTTAGAAAGATGTGTTTTTGAAGTCATGGTATCATAATGGCAGATAATAGAATGAAACTTTTTCGGGAGATAGCTTATGCTCTAAAGATGGTTGAACATGTACAACTGCGGTCACTGCATAGTTTACACCCTCATTTTTCACCCTCAATACTGTAAAACCACAGTGTCGTACGGATTTCTAAACATCAAAAATTTCACGAGTATTGAAATATAAAATAAAAAGCTATAAAACGCGTCTAAATGCTTAGAATGCATTTTAATGGCGTGCAAAAAAAAACTAGAGCAATTGCTAAACTCAAAGACGGTTGGTCATGAAGGCAAGTGGCTGCAGATTTGAATGTGAGCCATATGTGCATCTGGAAAATCAAACACTGATGTGATCATTTTCACTCTAGAGCATGGTGGAGGGTTCAAGAGGGCAGAAGATAGATCTCCACACAACAACAAGATGGAGTGTTAGTAGTTAGAAATAGTTAGATTATTAGAGAACCTCCTTTTGCTACAGCTTGAAAAGCTAGTGAAGACACAGCATTTCCAAGCAGCAAGCACATAGAAGGATTAAAGCAAGTGAATTGATAAACTGTAAAGCTGCAAGGAAACCTCTTGACTGAGGATCACTGACAGAGAAGACAAGTTGCACTTGCAGTGAATTCATAAACTGTGAAGACAACTGTTGGTGTAATATTGCATTTTCTGAAAAAAAAGTATTTCAATCATATAGCCATGGGTAAATAAGAGTTTATATTTATAGGACAAGAAATTATAGGTTTGAGAATGGTATACTCATAATTTAACAAATAGTGGAGGATTCTTAGTCAATGTATGGTGATGGATAAGTGCTGTCACAGACGTTTGTTTTCATATAGAAGAAAAATTTACACAACTATATTACAAACATACTCTTTACAATGCTGTCTATGAATAGAATATTGCAAAGCTGTAATGGGGCTTCTACCAAATATTAATTGTGATACTGTTTATCATCATTTAATATAAAATAGATTTAAAGTAAAACATATTTTTAACCCACACTTCCTTATTTTCGTTATTAAGGACATAATTCATTTTATCCAAAAAAACTTCTTTCTATAATTTACATTTTGTTATATTTTGTCAAATAGATTTATTTTGATGTAAATCACTTTGATATATAATGTGTGTATAAAGGAGTTAACAATTCAAACAATTGGCTACTAGATATGTAAGTGTGTAAACTATTCAATGACTGAATTGAATCAAAAATATAAACCATAAATAACCAAACATTAAGATATAGATTCAGAAAATATTAAGATATGGAAAAGCTATCCCTGCAATAGGTTATATGTAAGATAATAACCATTGATTTTTTGGTTGAGTTTACCGAGAGTAAAAGCTGACTATAGCCGCAAATGTCAAACATGGAACAATAAATTTCAGTTTAGCAGTGTTGGCATGTTTTTATAATGTAGATGCTGTATGCTTCAAATATAAAGCTTTAGAAAAGTACATTTTGTTTATATTGTTATGAATTCTGCAATTTTTGATTTATATAAAGAAGGAATGAATAAATATTTATTTCTTTGTAGATTAATTGCAGTTAATTATTATAAATTTTTTTGGCAATTGCCTTTGATAGATTTGGCAATCGTTATTGTTTCATATAAATTAAAAATTACAGAATTCATAAAATAGTATAATCAAAATGTACTTTTTAAAAGCTTTCTCTTTTTATACTTGAAGCATACAACATATGCATTATGAAAACATCCCAACACTGTCAAACCGAAATATTTTATTTCATGGTTGACTTTGCAGCTATATTCAGCTTGTACTTTCGGTTAACTTAACTGATTTTTTTTATAAAGATTGTGTTATTAACATTCATTATTTGAAAAAATATGGTACAGCAGGCGGTACATATTGTCTTCTTTTGCAGGACAAATTTTGACTTTTTTCAATTTTTTTTTGTGCTTTATTGGTAGGCCAAATTGTTCAACAACATATTTTTTATTTTGACAGCTCTCTACAGCTTCGAGCACTAACTTTTAATGAGACTCAAACTTTTCGATTGACTTCACAGCACTCATGTACTATGCACAATTTCTAAACTGTTGTACAAACTGATATGTATTGTTGTAGAACCATTTCAGTGGACAACAAATGACTTAATCACTTATTGTATATTCCTAAATTGTTTTCCAAGAAACAATGGTGTACTTACATTGTCAGCAAATTCGTAAGTCGGTAACTTATTTTTCTTTGAACTGTAGGTGTAATAACTTTCAATAAATGAGTTGTAAAGCTTGTAAAATAAAAATGTTGCTATGTTTAAGATACAGAGGCCCAATTTAATTTTTAGAGTTGTAGAGAGAAAATATGTACCAAATGGTTTGCAGTGATTCACTGATTATTTTGACTAATAGAAGGTTGAGATTTTTAGTAAATCTGGTTTTAAGGCTAGATGTTAAGGGAACAAAATATTTTTTGAGGTTTTCAACTTAAAGTTGAGATTCAACTTAAAGAGGTTCTACTGTATAAGCAACAAGATAGAAGAGATTTGATGATGACCACATAAAAACATGAATAAGAAAAGAAGATGTAGACATATGTGGACTAATTTCCAATGAGATTACATTATTAGTTAAAAAAGTTGTACACCTTCTATACTTCAGGTAAAAATAAAACTAATAGACAGTAAAATATTTTTCTTGTTATCTTGTCTAAAGTAAGACCAAAATATAACACTGAAATATTGATTCCATAAGTTCTAAATTGCTGTGGTATTGGACACACATAATCCTACAGTGACAGAAGCACAGGATGAAGTCCTTAAAAGAGAGATTTGATAGATGACATGAGCAGTAGTAAACAATAGAATAGATTGGCATAGGAAAGAGAAAAATGGAAGTAATTTGGAGAAACTTACATACAGGAGTCACTGGACAAAGGGAGAGATTGTTAAACAGAAATTAATAATTTTATCATGTAAAATTGGGTTTTAAAAAGCTCAATAAAAAAGCTTAAATACTGAAGAAATATTTTCAAAATACAAATTTATGGTGTTACCAATGCAAGTCATAAAAAGGAAGGTTTTTTTTTTGATAGGATGAGATCTAATAGTTTAATAGTTTCAAGTGTTAATTTGTTTAGTTCTGATCAAATCTTAACAGTTCTGAAACAGCTGTAATTTTATTTTCTTAACTCTAATTAACCACATATTAATAATTATCAAATTTATCATTTTTTACATTCTTTTCATTATTGTTTCAAATTTGAAGATATTGATGAGTTATATGTGCTTAATTTGGGCTGAAGTGCTAAAGTGAGTGGCAGTAATAAAACAAGGTTTAAGCAGAATACGATCCTATTAAAAGACTACCATATACAAATAGTTGGATATGAAACCATGGGAAGCTTAATAAGATATAGAAAAGAGATTTATTTAAATAATTCAGTTATACTTATCAAGAATTGCCAAAAAAATACATGTTTAATGTATAAAAAAACCATATCTACCTTTCTGAACACTCTTTACATTTTAGACAAAATATTCTGTAGAACAAAAATATTTTTTCTAGTAAAGAAAGTGTATAGTAAAATATAAAATTTAGGTCATTCCATTTAATATGTTGCTATTTTTAAATTAATCTACTATCAAATGTTTCAATTAACATTATTATCATTATTACAGCAGTGGGTTTATCTACCAGATATTGCTCTTTAAATAAGATTAATGAACTTCCATTTATTTAAATATGCAATTTGTGCAAATAAATATTACAGAAATAGAATTTTTGCTTTATACACATAAATTAGATAAAATTAATTTATTTTCAAATTATAAATTTTAAGATATAATATAATATTAATTAAAAACAAAAGAACAAATATAATGCATTTGATGACTTCAACAAGTGTACAAATTTAAAACTAATTTCTAATTTCTCCATTAAAAAAGTATAGTTGATAAGGTATCACACTGCTAAACTCAATTTTCAATACCAAATGCCTCATCAGAACTCCATTACTGCCTTGGATCCATCCAAGGTCATTTGTAAAAGTTTGCCTAACTTTTTGGGTATACCTAGCATGGATAATTGTTTTAGCAACTATCTACTTATATAATTCCTGATGATATCTTATAGATCACATTTAATTTTTGCAGAATCTTTATCTCCGTTCATACATAGGAAATATGATTCCTAATTTCCAGACTTCTAGTGCCAATATGCATATTGACAGTTGATAACATTAATCAGTTGATGTATACATTTCCATATTATTTTCAGAATTTCCACTTTCTCACTAATGCTTGCCCTGCTTTTGTACTTGCAAATTCTGATCTTGGCATTTCCTTCTACATAATATTGTTGAATCCATTCTTTTTCTTCATTAGGTTCGTGAAGAATTAAAAATGAACCATGAGCTAGATGAATTAATACAGAGCACAGATATTGTTAGATTTATAAAGTCACAGAGACTAAATTGTCTTTTACAAAGAATGCCACAAAATCAAATGGTAAAAGTAATCCAGAAATGGAAACACCAATGAAATAGAACAAGAGGAAGGCCCTATACAAGATGGATGGAAGAAATGGATTACCGTTTAGGGGAAGTTTAAACCATGAACATCAGGCAGTAAAGAAAAGTTACCTACACGGCAGAATGGAAGAGCAATGTTAAGCAGGCCAAAACTCACAAAAGGTTGTAGTGCCAGGAGAAGAACAAATTTCTGCATTAAATATACAATTAAACCAGTTTAAATATGCAAATTTGTCAGGATCTGTGAACTAATATTTAAAATCTTCATCTTTTTATGTAGATACAACTCTGTCTGTTTTTTTAATGTGCCTCCAATAAGTTGTACCATCGTTTTTGTTGTCTTCTTACTGTCTTCCTTTTAGGGAACCGTCTCTTGTCATCTTTACTACTCTATTTGTTGTCATTTGGCTTATATGATCATTCCATTCTACTCTTTATTTAAAATCTATAGAGATAAAACATTCCGATACTATAATCTCATGCTTTACCTTCTAAAATTGTGTTATTTTATTTTATGGTCTTGAATTTAAATTGTTTGGATTTATAGATTGTTATTTAAAAACTGAGCTACATTTTAGTGGAAAAAGTTTAAGTGTATGCAAAAAAATATAGTAATAATACCCTTCAACCATTAATATGTAATACAAATATGCATGAATACATTAGCCTGGGAGCACAGAATAACAAAAAAGATATGGGTGTGTATAATTTTTACAGCAATATCCTTGTTAAAGAGTAGGTAGTCGATTAGAAGGATGATATGGATGATAACACATAAATCTCCTTTTTAAATTTGATCATGGAGGACAAACCATACTTAACAAATGCAGAGGTTTGCTGGGGAGGGCCAGGGCTCGAGTTGAGCTGTATAACCAAAGGATAGTTAAACACTATCCACTTTGCCATTTTACAACATCTTGTGGTCAATTATTTCACTAAATTTAATCTTATTTTGATTTCAAATTTGTAAATACAATTTTTATTTCAAACTAATTCTAATGGTATATTGTTCCATTTTATGTATTACATACAAGAAATATGAAGAACAGTAACAATTCAAAATCCATTTGGTAGATAGTGGTTTTTACCTAACAAACCTATAAAAATCAGCATTTTTTTGAAAGTTTGAATTGCTCAGTTCAACTGTCATGAATAAAGTATTTTAATATCTATACAGTAACACCTCCCAAAAGATTAACAAAACTTGAAGAATTTGAATACATTCACATAAAACTGTAACAATGTGCTGAACATTCAACAGTTCGAACCATGGGAGTGTAGATAGTCACACATCCATTTCCACAACAAGACTATGAGGTGTTTTGTACAAAGACCATAAATTTTGTAAAAACTACCTGTTGATTTTCCCCTACAGTTCAAATAGATTTATTTTTATCTAATTTATCTACAAAATTTTGAGGTTAAAAAACATTGGCAAAAGTATAGAGAAAGTGCCCATGAATTTGGCATAAACGTCTTGTCAACACACTGATCAAAGTCAGAGTCGTCAAATATAAATTATACCTCATGTCATTCGAGTATGCATGCTAAATTTAATGCTAGTTATTAGAAATAATAGGAAAGATACTAGTGAGTAGACATCTAATTTTAGAAATGAATTATAACTTAATGTAGGACCACAATTCTATATATTTTCTTTCAGCAAAAGTATAGAGAAAGTGCCCATGAAGTTAGGTACAAATTAGTGACAGATTTGTATTTGGCAGTGTTGCCATATCACAAATAAATCACAAAAGAGCATGCGATATAATATTAATTAATGTTACTAAACATTCTTTTTAAGTTTTTAAAAGAAGTTTGGACGATTTTCACTTTTGGTCCCATTGAAGATAGCTTCAAATGGGTTTGACAGAATGAAATTTTGGTGTTTCGCAGTGTTGAAATTTACATTACAAACGAAACATATGCAATTAAAAGCAATAAGATATTTAAAAACTAATATTTAACAATTACGAAAAAAGAAAAAGTAAATAGTTTTAAAACAGTTTTTAACAGTAAATAGTAAAATGTCAGTATAAATAATAAAATTTAAAAGGCATCTGTTGCAATCTGGCAGCTGGTGGTTTGAGGATTCTGACTCTATTGCCAAATCTATCCGCTAACCTACCAAAGGGCAATTGCCAAAAAAATTTTCTGATAATTTATTACAACTAATATCAAACGAAACAAACATTACTTCATTAATATTTTATATAAGGTATAAAATTGCAGAATCCATAAAATAATATGATAAAAATGTACCTTTTAAAAGCTTTATCTCTTTGTATTTGAAGCATATAACATATACATTATAATAACATAGCAACACTGCCAACGCAATATTTCGTTCTGTGAAACTTAATTGACAGCTAATTTGAGGTTATCTTCAATGGGATGAAATGTGAAAATCGTCCAGAAGTTTAATTAATTTAAATTTAATTTATTACAATTTAAATAAGGTTTGATTTTTAAGCTTTTTAGGTACCATTTCATCCCAAAATTATAAGAAAATAGTCATATTGAAATCTGCTGAACACCTGTTGCAATCTGGCAGCTAATGTTTTCAAAGTTTTGCAGTATTGCCCAGTTTATTTGCTAATCTACCAAAGCCAAGGACCATTTTCACATTTGGTCCCATTGAAGATAGCCTCAAATTAGCTGTCAATTAAGTTTCACAGAACGAAATATTGTGTTGGCAGTGTTGCCAAGTTATTATAATGTATATGTTATATGCTTCAAATACAAAGAGATAACTCTTTTAAAAGGTACATTTTTATCATATTATTTTATGGATTCTGCAATTTTATACCTTATATAAAATATTAATGAAGTGATATTTGTATCGTTTGATATTAGTAACAAATATTTACAAAAAAATAATAACAAATGATCAGAAAATTTTTTTGGCAATTGCCCTTTGGTAGGTTAGCGGATAGATTTGGCAATAGAGTCAGAACCCTCAAACCACCAGCTGCCAGATTGCAACAAATGCCTTTTAAATTTTATTATTTATACTGACATTTTACTATTTACTGTTAACAACTGTTTTAAAACTATTTGCTTTTTCTTTTTTCGTAATCGTTAAATATTAGTTTTTAAATATATTATTGCTTTTAATTGCATATGTTTCGTTTGTAATGTAAATTTCAACACTGCAAAACACCAATATTTCATTCTGTCAAACCCATTTGAAGCTATCTTCAATGGGACCAAACGTGAAAATCGTCCCAAAGCCAATTATAATTTTTTCCTTCTAATAACTAACTGCAACTAATATCAAAAGAAACAAATATTTATTGATTCACGTTTTATATAAATTTAAAAAAATACCCAATTTCATAAAATAATATAATAAAAATGTACTGTTTCAAAGCATATTTGAGGCATAAACATATACATAATAAGGACATGGCAAAGCCGCAAACACAAATTTAACATGACATTTATAGCCAACTTCCTCAGCACTTTCTCTATACTTCTGTCTTTCTTTCTATCAAATATTTTGTTAGATGGAACTCCACAAGCATTCATTATATGCACACTAAAAGCTTTATGTTTGACATGGTACAAATAGAGAGCTTTAAGTTAATCTTAATGAATGTTATTTTTTCCATTAAGACTTTAGTTTTATTAATCTGATTTAACTGTGAAAGATTAAGACCAGAATATAAAAAAAAACACTTACCAGAGAAGTTATCACGTCTCAATTCATATTCTCTAACTTTTAAGCCCCTTTCTAAAATTTCTTCGGCTTTGGCACCCCTGACTGTGCAGTGTACAGCAATTTTTTCATTACGACGGATACCAAAAGACCTGACAGTATATCTAGCTTTTGAGAATACAGGTTGTTGTCCTGTAAGTTGTTCCAATACCTAAAATTTGGATCTTTAAAAAAATAAATAGCTTTGCATTGAAATGACTTACCTTAGCAGCTCGAGTAAGTCTGTCACCAGATTCTCCTACACAAATGTTAAGGCATAGTTTACGGATATGTAACTCTCGCATACTATTTTTTGTTTTATCTTTAACTTCTCTTTTATCTTTTCCATCTTTTGGCTTAGCTACGGGCTGAAACAAACACGTATATTATAATTTGTAAGACACCTCATGAGGATAACCTCTACATACTTATAAACAATCACTACAATTGAATAGTTTGTTTACTAAAGTATATAGAAAATTTACAAATAATTAAAGAAATTTAGTTTTAATTGCATTGATATATACACAATATTTTATTACAAAATACATTACATATTTCTTCAAAACAAGAAGTTATAGGTTAGAGACGAAAAACGTAAGATTATAAATTATACTTTCAAAATATTAATATAAACATAATTTAGACGATAAATGAATTAAAAAGTAATTCTATTTTTACAAAAATATCACCTTATTATTTGGATGATTTTAAAAATAAATTGCTTTTAAAATTTTTACTCACCGCCATTGTTAATCGGACTTGTTAAAGGTGGAGCCACTGGCGAAAAAGTACCAGATAGATAAGTTCAGAATTCAAAATTTGCCTCAGTAACCAAATTGTCAAAAGTTTGACAGCCGATGACGTTAAACTATATATGTATTTTTTAAATTAAAATCTATTTATTTTAGATTATAATTGTATCTATAGCTTTAGTTAAGTGTTTAGGTTTAACGAAATATTTAAAATATAATTTTTAAAATATTTATTTCCACTTAAATAAATGTTATTCTATAAAAGATTATAATTTAATGCAATAAAATAAACAGGGTATACAAAATTTAGTTGGAAATATCTATTTTATCTAAATTTTAGTAAGAATCTTAAATTAAATTATAGAGATATACAAATTTTCAAATATCTAGTTTCAAGGTCAATTAAATGCCAAAATCGGAACGTATCTTCGACCACATGTAATCTAATTCGAATTGACATCACGTATTCTCTATTTATTCCATGAAGTTAGTAAAGGATACCGATATCATCGCCATCACTAAATCGAATCACTTATCAGATGAAAATAGAAACACCTTCTTCACAAAAGATTTACACAAAGTGGAAGGGGTATTGAGACCAAATCAGAAGTGACAGTTCTTTTAATTTCCTCTAAGTTTCACTAAAAAATGAGTTTTTTCCTCGAAAATAAGCGTATTAAAAATTTTCTAATAATGACAGTACAAATATAGTGCAAGAAAATTATAAAAGTGTGTTGCCGAGGTACTTACTGACCAGTATAGCTATCAACCTCATGTAAACATTGTGATTGTGAAGGAACATTTTCGATCAGTCTATTTTCTTTATTATGGAAAAACATAATGAAAATATTGAATTTTCTTTCTTAGCCTTAAAATGTTGGGAAATCTACAAAGAACTGTAAAAACTTGGTACAATCAATCAAGAGAAGCCGATGTTAATATTTTATGGGTCAGTGTTTTAGTGCTAGCAGAGCCCAGGATGCACCTCAACCTAGTAAGTTTTTAAATACATTTTGTTTACTTCTCTGGATACAATGCAGCCTTCTAAAGAAAACCTGTATACTAAAGTTTTACATTTATTTACTAGCTATCGGAATATTTCATACTATATAGCCGTCAGATCAAATTTTATAGCCTTATTTGAGCCTATGATTTTATATACATAATATTAATAAGTCGTCGATAGTGTCGATTTTTAATGGTTCATTTATGAGTTTCACATAAGCCTCAACTATTCTTAGGGGTATTTTACCTACTAGATGGAAAAGAACATAGACCTCTTCTTGGTGCTCAGTATATCTAAATATCAAAAATCAATGTCTATAGGTTTGTGCCTAGTATCTTAGGTATATGAAAAACTGGATATAAAAAAATGATATATGCTTACCTCTGGCAACATTAATTTTTAAGGTAGTGTGAAACCAAATTTATGTTGTAGGTACTTTTGGTTATTATGTGCTTTAATAATTATGTATAAATTTTACTATTGTTGGTCTTGGCCCTGAGTTCATTGAGTATTTTGGATACCAAATCTATTACATTCCTGCTGAGAAATTGATTATAGCTTGCAGAAAAACTGCACTTTCTACCCTCTAGATGTGTTCCAAGATATCTGAAAGGAAGTAAAACTGATTCTCATATATTATGTTTTTATGGGATTAAGCCACAAGAAAGTAGATACAGAGCCTTGATTCTATTATAGTTATACTGTTGAAGTTTTAATGAAAACTCTATAAACTTGATCTGTTGTTGGCATTATCAAGTTAATGCTTTGTTCCACTTCAACTTCTCTTATAAGTTTTGTACTTATATAAGTAATCTGCCCCTTATTAATTTTCTATTTTTCTAGTTTTTAATTTTCTATTAGTTTTTAGTAATAAATTGTCTTGTGATTGTTTTCTCTGCATGTAGCCTACCTTTTAATTAAATTTGGGTTGTATTATTAATATTCTCTTTTACTGATTACTTAATTCTAATAATTATTTTAAATGGCTGTTAATTATATAAACATGAAAATTTTATTTATCATATTTATATTAAGTACATAGGGACTGATGTTTCTCACAATATTTTTTTTAAATATTCTATTTTATATCTTTATTGCAAGCTTTTACCATCAATACTTCTACTGACTTAAAAATATTTGGTTTGCTATCATGTTCTGTTCCCTGCATATTGTGTTTTGATTTCACCATATATGTTCAATTGCTTCCTGATAAATGTTTCCTTAGATTATTTCTCTCCAGGATTTCTGTTTCTATTTGATTTCTTCAATCACTGGAACTTTTTTATTTTCTAGTCACTTTCTAGAAAATTTTTATATATAAAATGTCTACTCTATGTTAAAAAACATCTTAATGTTAAATAATTTTTGTAATTTTTTTTTATCTGTACTGTTTGGACTTCCATTGTCACATAAGTCAATAAAGTAGAAGCCATACAAGAAGACCAGTTAGTAATTAAGCAATGATCAGTGAGCATCAAACAATTTTTATTTTATGTTACTCGCTTGAAAAGTAAATTATTTAATTTCATATATTTTATGTTCAGTAAGAATGTTTGAGTTTGTTCTGTTAAAAGCAAATGAAATGAATATAATATTTGTATATATTTTATTACACACAATAAAATCTATTTTATTAATGATATTTTGAATATAGTAGTCATTTACTGTCAGTTTACTGTAATATACTACAACTCTATATAATATAATCTCTCTCCTATGGCTCTATAGCCTATGTCAGGCTCTATCCTCTTATACATGTACCTCCAAACATTCCTTTATTTGGCTACTTTCCTCCAGATATCCACCCTCATTATCTCTTCAGCGTAGGTTCTTACTTTGTCTATCCACTACTTTCTTGGTTTTTCTACTGGCCAATGTCCCACCATAGTTCCACTAAGTGTTCTAAGCTCCTACTAGGTGTTCTATTATTATCCATTCTTATAAGTTATAACTTATAAGTCCAGTGCAATCTTTGTATTTTTACATAATTTGCTACAGAGGATTTTTTGTAATATTGATATGACACTTTATTGATCCTTATTTTTCACATACCATTGTTGTAGATGGGCTTCAATATACTTCTCAATAACTTTCTTTCAAAAGTATTCCTTTTCACTGTGACTGGCTAAATCTCTGGTAAGGTTGCTCAGGTTTGCTAGGGTTCACCTGTGAACTCCAGGTAATTAGACCAGTGATAGCATACTGAGCAGAAGTAATGTGTCTTAAAAAAAATATGAAGGAAAACTACGAATAATTGGAAGAACAATTATGAGAAGACACACAGCCCAATAAAGATATAATAAGAAGAATATAGAAGACTAATGGACCATGAAATAAGAAATATAACTGAAGGGGAAGATATATTAAAATTTATTAAAGAACAAAGACTGAGATGGTTTGGACACATACAAAGAAGAGGAGAAGATGCACTAATTATAAAGATAACAGACTGGAAACTAGTAACAAACTAACCAAGAGGAAGACTGTCACTGGAAGAGGAAGACATAAGTTGGAAAGACCAACTACTAAGAGGATATATCAAACTGCAAACTGGAGAGGACAGATTCATGACCAGAGAGAGTGGAAAAAGATAGTAGACAATCAAAAATAAACACAATAAGAGTCATCAGTTTAAATGGTTTTTACAGCACTAAGTATAGAATTTGAAAAGTTAAGAGTAGATTTTTAATCAGCAAATTGAGTTGCTCTGATAATAACAAAGATTAATCATTTTTCAATTGTGTTTGTGGATGGAACCTTATTTTTCTAATAATGATGTTATTGCAAAGGCATAACTTTGATTATTTGGTAAACCTACAGTATACCTCACAAAAAATTCAACAAAAATCATTAAAACATGTTTGTTAAAAAATTCACTATATGAAGAGGATATATTATACATATTCTGTAGGTCCTATTTCAATAAAATAATTTGCAAACTTGTTGACTCATGCTGATTGACACAATAGAGCAGTAAAATCATATGCATAAAGATGTTGTAAAACATCTTCACTTACTTGGTCTACTAATAATAAAATTATCAGCATTAAATTGTAAAGCAGTCTTTGTACATGGCTTTAACTATACCATGTATTCTCCATTTGTGTGGCCTTACTTTTGATTTATTCATTAGTATTACTTGTTGTTTTACAATGTGTAGATTATTATATTCTACTTGAAGTCTTAATATGTAGCGTGATTACTATAACCCAAGTAATTGAATCCTTTTTGGAACATAAATAAATGAAAGAACAAAATAGATTAGAAGATTTAGAATGTTGTATTTTCCCATTTTTTCTTTCTTATTTTACTTCTAATTTTGTATTATTCAGACTTATATCTTGAATAGGTAATGTTTATCTTTAATTGAGATGCTATTTGTCACCTATTTTGCCTGGCAGTCTATCTATTTATCTATATAGTTTTCTATTTGGTGTTCCATGTATTGTTAGATTGTTGACAATTTATTCATTCTATAATGTTCTGGTGTCAATTGCTTATTTTTCTATTCTATATATTTTTTATAGTAAAAGCAAATAAAAAATATCACAGGATAATTAGGAATTTAAACAAAACATCATAGTGCATATAATTTTTGCAAATAATTGATATCTTTGAAACAAATTTTGTAAAGAAAACAAAAATACTTCATATTTTCTTATTGTCAGGATATAAAAATGATAAAACCAGCTAGCAATTAAATATTAACCATATTATGTGTAGATAAGAATGAAATTCAAGTTTAAATAATCATACCAACAGTCTAGTTAACTTTTTTATTTCATAATAATTAAAAAATAAATGTTTAATCATGTTTTCAAATTCTAAGCCATTTTCAGCATATAGCACAGAAACAATTGTCAAACAAATCTGATTCTTTTATTATGTTATGTTGAAAACAAATCTATCTTATTCTCCTTTGCTTTTTATTTATTCTGACCTACATTCAATGCACTGACAACTGGGATATTATTTTAAATCCCATTTTATGCTTACAATTTTCTTCAAGAATAAATTATTTACTTATCTAGAATCTAGCTAAAACACCTATAAGGTATGTAATGATCAGGTATAATTAGTGGGTGTTAATGTAAATATCTTGTATCATGTTAAATTATTCCAGTAAACTATATAAGGGTACACTTATGCTCGTAATTCCATTATAGATGAAGTAGAACAATTTCTCTCACCTAACATTGATTTTTTTATGGCACCTCAGTTTTTCTGAATTGTTGGGAATGATCCACAAATCTAAAATAAATATTTGATTTGACATTTTGGTGTATATATTTAAGGTTTTATATAAAAGATGAAATTAATAGAATTCTATGTAGATATTGATATAAAACTAAGAATATAATATTAGGAATGGAAAATTTTGTTTCGTTTACAATATAACCAGATAATTTTAAAAATTCTGATGCTTTTATTTCATTTTTTTAATGAATTTAAAACTTTGAATGCATTGACCAAAACATCATATATTCTGATTATGGTTTATTCTGTGGCTATTCAAATACTTGTTTTAATACTTGAGATGAGATACTGAATGTACATTGACTTGGAAGTTAATAATTGCTGAGGATGCACATATTACATTATAATATACTATAGTCACTGCAGTATATTAAATTCTGCAACATATTTAGCTATAAAAAAAGTGCATCTCAAATATAGTTTCATATATTTTTTGCAACATCTTCATCTAAATGACTATCTTGTCAGTCACTAAGATAGTGTTATATTTTTAATAATTCCTTCATTTAAAATTTTAAAGCAAATACATATAGTACATGCAGAATTTTTTATAGTACCTATAATCACTTTTTTGTAAACTATTGCAATTTTTTTTAACTATACATGCACCTTAATTGCCCTCTTCAACTTTGCATATCTGAGATCAATTGAATTATCTCATTTTAATGTAAACCTCATATTTAGCTACTTACTATAGTTCACTATATTTAGATAAAATTTAGTGTCATACA